GGCTGAATTTGAAAACTCCAAGTTCTATGAAGACGTGGGATATAACCTCAAAATTTCAGCTTTCTAGCTTTTCTAAGTCCCGAGTTAGCGATTTTCCCGCCAAAACTTTCAACTCCTCGCACGCGGGGACCAGACTTGCGTGAGAGTTGATACCGCGATCCTGGGGTGGCACTTGGCCGGGGAACCCACCAGCAAAATTTTGGTGCCGGGGCTTGCTTGGGTGCCGAGTTGAAATATCCGGACAGACGCACACACATACACATACACACCGGGGTCGTCACAATATGCGTTTTTGCAATTTACATATATGCAAAAACGCATAAAAAACGCATAAAAATCTGCCTGCATCAGTAATCGCAGTTTTACTCCTACTGACTCAAAGGCTATTTGCTTGCTTTGATCAGTTCTCTTTTAATAACACCACAACTTTGGGCGGCTGAAGCAAATACAAACGTTTTTATTACCTTTAAATGCTGGTTTATCCAGCAGTCGACTACGATCCTGGCATTCGCCCCTACTTCCTTGATTTTTTTTTCAGAGCAGAAATGCTAGATGCTTGCCGTTTGCGCGTTTCTTCATTTTTTCTGCTTGATACTCATTATGTTCCTTTCAAACGGCTGCCACTTGTACAAGGAGATGTGCTCGTTAAGTGTGCCGAAAGACACTAGGACTACGTGTATAAGAATAGTCAACTGGGAAGCGGCCATCCCACTTCCTTTCAATGATTAAGCAGTTTAATAACGATTAAACTAAACAAATATGTTTGTGTTGTTTAGATACTTGTACGGTGAACACCAGCTGCTTCCAAACAAATTCATGGATCTCGAATAAAAATCATTGTAAATGAGTCCAGTGTAAATCGAAAATAAGCCCATCATAAGAATAACGTAGCGACCGCCAAAGAAAGTTCCCAATATCTGAAATCTTTCCAACAACTTGCAGTAGTTATTAGCCGCACCATCCAAAGAAAAGATGCAGACATATACTTTTTATGCCTTTTTTGCAGCTGTGCAATGCAAAAACGCATATTGACGAGGGGTTGCCTGTGTATCCGTGTGTCTGTGTGTGCGTCTGTCACGCATTTCGATCTCAAGACCTACAAAAGCTACAGGGCTGAAAATTTGGGAACTTAATCTACATGGTAGAGGCCCCAACCCCAAAATGGACGCCATTACCGCATGGTACCCGCGTACGGGCCCGCCAAAATTCTTTTCGAGTAACTCCATAACTCACGAATCTGAGAAGCTAGAATGCTGAAATCTTAGGGTAATGTTCCCCGTCCAAGTATGTGTTGATGAGCTCAAACCCATCCCTCGGGTAAGTGTGGTACCCGCGTACGGGCTCACCAAATTTCTTTTTGGGTAAGCTGATAACTCGGGAATTTGAAAAGCCAAAGGACTCTAATTTTAAGAGGATATTCCCCGTTCACCTAAGTCTCATTGAGTTCAAACCCAGACTCCGGGTACGCATGATAACCACAGAAGGGCCCACCAAATTTTTTTTTGGGTAAGTTGCTAAATCAGGAGCCAAGAATGCTAGAAAGCAGAATTTTAAGGACGTGTTTCCTAACAGTTTTGGCAGCCAATTTTAATTTGCTTAGCTAGAAGCATTTGCTGAAAAAAACCAGTGCCGGTAAACGACAAAAGCTGCTGCGAACTGTGCAAAAAACGAAAATCTTCGCACGGGCAGCCCGTGCGTTGGCCAATTATTTTGTATCTTAAACCGTGATTTCTGCTATCACATATCGTGTTTATTATGTTTCTATCCAGCAAGCACTAGTTGCTAAATGCT